CAGATGGCTCTATTCAGAGATCGATTTATAGGAAACCGACTTGGAGCTGCCAGTATCTCCATTTCAAAAGTTTTGTACCATTCAAAGAAAATCTGATCCAGTGTTTCGTAAATAGGGTGGTGAAGATATGCACCGACGACACCATAAATACGGAACTATCATTCATTCATGTTTTCCTACAAAATGGTTATCCAGAACGTTTTGTGGATGACGGTTTACAAAATAACCAACTGAGGGGAAGACCTTTAAAAGCAGAGAAGACACTCTGCATCTCTCTACCTTTCCAAGTTGACTTGATGGCGGAGTTGGTTAACCGGACACCAAGAACTGCGTCTGAGAATACCTTTCATGTGGCAAAATTACGCGTCGTACTTACGTCCAGACCGATCTTGTGTTCGCAACTCAAAGACAGGAATCCTGCTTCTACAGTTTCATTTTGTGTGTACTTGTTTACGTGTTCCTGTGGAGCCACATATGGGCCGCACAAGCCGGCCCCTATCTATAAGAGTTGGGGAACATAATCTGGCCTGACTGAACACTAGTATGGGTAAAACTATTACAAGTGTCATCGTTTCACACCTCGTCGAGTTCGATCACTCAGCGAGTGTGACTGAAGCCTTTCTGCCGTGATCACAAATCAAAGTCGATTAAAAACCGCATCCTAGCCACCACAGAGGCGGTTGGAATTCGTCTACATAATCCCCGTTGTGCCCCCCGCCCCCCCCCAAAAAAGCAATTTGTGGAGTCACAACCTATCATGAACCTCCAAATTCCATCCTCATCCTCCTCATCCTTCCAATCCAACTTCACGTAATACGGACCGTAAGTTCTGATTTGTGAAACTAAGAAAACAACGACAAGAACGAAAAAATCGTTATCTTAATAATGATTATTTTGTTCCCCCTTTTCTATACAAAATGATGTATAAAATATGGCATATCAACCAGTTGATGAGTCACCGAAAATAAGCTTGTTCGCTAAATTACATATTCGTTTAATGTGTGCTGCTGGTATAGTCTAGCGTTTCTAGACGTACTAATAAGACACCCCAGTGAGAGCTCCGTCTAGTTATCAGTGCATAGAAAAGTAACCTGGATTGGACAGTATATCCACTTCCATAGTTTTGTCCGTCTGCAGAGAAAGAAAATTTTGATTTTTTCTCTGTATTAAAAAGCGAAGAAGATATACACGATGGACACCATCGTCAATGAACTTCAGTTCTTACATACTGCTTGTGCCCAGAATGGTTACTTCGAACGATTTATTGATAAGGTAATGCTAGAGCATTAGGAAAGGCCAAATAGGAGCAGTGAATAAATCTTTCTATGTGCATCTGCCGTTCAAAACACATACAAAGGCGGAAATCTGTCAAAGAACGTTCATAAATGCAGTAAGCAGAATATTTCACGTAGCACAATTAAAAGCTGTGTTCACATCTAAGCCGATTATGATTCTGACTAAAGGATAGAGTGCGAGAATCTGTAGCCTCACTTTG